TTCTACTCCCGTAAGGATTTACACCCTCGGAAACCCTGTACAGGGTCGCTATGGGTCGGAACCGACTCGACGGCACTTAACAACAACAACAACATGGGCTCCTGGTGTGACACTGTAGGATCAGCATTGAACTGAAAACCACAAGGTTGGCAGTTCAAATCTACTAGCTGCTCCTTGGAAACCCTATACAGAGTTGCTATGAGTCTGAACCAATTCAATGGCACTCAACAGCAACAACAATGCAGGTGAAAGTTGGACAATTATTACAGAAGACCTGAGAAGAATTGATGCATTTGAATTATGGTGTTGGCAAAAAATATTGAAAGTACCATGGAGTCCAGGTGTGGCATTGTGGGATACAGCACTGGACTGCAAAGTCAATTTGAATCACAAATTCACCAGCCACACCTTGGAAACCTTATGCAGAATGGCTATGAGTTGGCACTAACTCAAAAACATTTCACAACAATATAGACTCCCAGAAGAGCAAACAAATCTGTGTTGGAAGTTGTACAGACAGAATGTTACTTAGAAACAAAGATGGCAAGACCTCATCTCTTATACTTTGGATATATTGTCAAGAGGGACTAATCCCTGGAAAAGGACACAAACCTGGTAAAGTGGAGGGTCATCGAAAAAGAGGAAGACTTTTTGAGATGGACTGACACAGTGACAGAAACAGTGGTCTCAAACTGCAGTGGTGAAAATGGCACATGACCAGACAGCGTTTCGTTCTGTTGTGAACAGGGTCACTGTTTGTTGGAACAGACACCTAACAACAATAATTCTGTTATTTGTCTGATGCTTTGTCTCCATCCTACACTTCATTGTCTTCTCTCCCCTCACATTCTTTTTGAGCAAAAAGTCACTTTTGCATTTTCAAAAGTCACTTTCTTTGTAATCAATGCAGATCACCATTCTTATTCAACTACCACAACCCTGTTGCTCCCACCACCACTGAGACCCAAGGCTTAGACACATCATGGTTAAATCACGAAATATAATCAGTCCTAATTGACAAACCAAAACCAAACCCACTGAAGTTAGTGGATTCCAGTTCATAGACACTATAGGTTTCAACCCTTAGGAGTTTCAAGGCTATTCTGAAAGCAGACTCTTTATATACTCTTCTTTCTCCCTCAGATTGGATGGTAGATTTGAACCACCAGCATCTCACTAAACAGCCCAATGCTTAAGCCATTATACCACCAGGGTTCGTCCTAATTATCAGAATCCCATTTTCCCCTCCCTTTCTCCTCCAGTTTTATTGGATAGTTTTAAATCACATTTCTATTTTCTAGGACTTTAGTTTCTTTTTCCATCTGACATTTAGAAACTGATTACAGCAAATGAAACACAGTTGTCCAAGTGATATAGTATACAAAAATAACATCTTGATTTCTGTGAAAATATGTTTCTTTGCAATTCCTGAACAGCTCCAAATTATGTTAACTCTGAGCATTGATGTTTACTCTGGGTTTTAGATTTAGTCTTTAGAGAAAAAACAAAAAGTATGTTCTAAAGCTTTTTTTTTTTTTAAAAGATTAAACATAAATTTATTTAAATATACACATAAGATTGGACAACTTTGTGGGTTATTGTTTAAAAATTGCATATTATACATATGTTATAAATATTGATAATTCACTGATGATTAATTAAAAATCTAAGGTGGGAAAATGGGGCAGAAAGAGCCATATACAAGCAGGCTAAAAAAGATCATGGAAAGATGGAAATAAGGGATGATGGAATTTTTTCAAGAGTTTTTTTTTTTTTTAATGTTTTACTGTGAATTATATGATAGTTTACATTAGAGAACTTTTAGTTTTACATTCATTCTATCATATATCGTTTCATTGCCATGGTTCCAATCCCCTCTGTTCTAAACCTTTGCCATCACTATGTGTATACCCAGCATCAACTCTGTGATGAAGTCGCTCCATTTTAGATTTTTATCCTGGTATTTCTCTCTCACTGTCATTAACATGCATGTTTGTCTTTGCTTTATTCCCACTTATCTGTATGTTCTCTGTAGGGCCTGCTACAGATACTATTTAGTAGCTACTGGTGGTGGTGGTGGTTATGTGCCATGGAGTCTGTTCTGACTCATAGCGACCCTCTACAGGGTTTCCGAGGCTGTAAATCTTTACGGAAGGAGAAAGCCTCATCTTTCTCCCAAGGAGCAGCTGGTAGTTTTGAACTGCTGACCTTATGGTTCACAGACCGATTCATAACCACTACGCTACCAGAGCTCCTTGAGGTCAGATAATCCAAGGCCATCATTATGCCAAAATTAAAGTTACTTACAGCTCTGGTAGCGTAGTGGTTACAAATTGGGCTGCTAACCTCAGGGTTAGCAGTTTGAAACTACCAGCTGTTCCGGGGGAGAAAGATTAGGCTTTCTGTTCCTGTAAAGATTTACAGCCTCGGAAACCCTGTACAGGGTTGCTATAAGTCAGAATCCACCCCATGGCACATAACCACCACCACCACAGAAGTTCATAGACACTTCCAGAATTGGTTTTACCTCCAACATGGGAACATTTCAAGAAACTCAGAGCAGGCTTAATGGTCTGACTCTTCGCATTCATTAATTCCTTATTCACCAGTGGCATGGAAAAGGGGTTCTTTAAGAAAGCATTATACATAACAGCTCTACGAAATTAAACATAGAGGTTTTTTTTGTAGTTAAATACAGAAAGTCGATTTTCCCCCCCATCCCTTTCCTCTTTTTACATGGCAAGTAACGCTCACTGGCCTGGGATTAGCCTCTGTCTGTCAACCTTAGGCCAGTGAAGAGGATTCACAGAAAAAAATACAACCATTAATCCGAAAAAGGAGGGGTGACAAAGGAAACTAATTAAGCTGTAGCGTAATTGTGCATTTCCGTGCAAGGTGACCCAGCAGAATCAGTTAGTTGCCTTCACTTGTCTTGCTGCAGTTGAGACTACATGACCAGTTTCACCACACCTATAACATTTCACTGTGGTGCAGTCTTTCTGAATGTGTCCAAATTCTCCACAAGAATAGCACTCTGTTCATCAGCGTGGTCACAGCCACGAGCCAGATAGCCTGGTTTGCCACAGTTGTAGCAACACGGCTCTCACTCTCTCTTGGGCTCCTTGCAGTCCTTGGCAATGTGACCACCTCTACCACAGTTATAGCAGGCTTCGTCCTCCTGAAGATCACCATCTTTGGCAAGATGACCAGACTCGCCACAGCAGGAACAGATGTCTGGAAGAGACGCGGAAACAAACTGGAACCTTCTGCTACAGCTTCTGATTCTATGACCATGGTTTCCTTCAGTGGGGCATTCGTGGGCTCAGTTACCAGATTGCCCACACTTGAAACACTCATTGCTGTTCATGGCTGCAGTTAGGTCTTCTTCGGTGTCTGAGCTGCTCTGCAGCGGTGGAGACTTGGACACAGATTTCTCAGACTCCCATTTTTGAAACAGAATTTGAGACATATAATTTTAAGCTAATATGTCTCAACACATGAAGTTTTTTTAGAATTAAAATGGGTTGGAAATTATTTCTGACTATGGAAACTAGGTTTCAAAGTAAAATGATGTTTGTGTTGCGATATAAGAGATGTTTATGATTTCAACTCTTAGACTTGAGATGTGGCTTTCAAACCTGAGATGCATCAGAATCTTCTTACAACATTGACTGATGTGTCCTGACTTCAGACATTTGAATTTGGTAGCTGTCAAGTTCGGCTCAAGAATTTGCATTCTTACCGATTTCCCTGATGATAGTGATGTAACTGCTCATTGGCTAGGATATTCCCAGGTAAAAAGAAAATGAGTATGAGAGAAGAAAAAGAATTGCACATTTGAGGGGTGAAGAAGTAGAAAGAGAAGCATCCAGCAAAATGAGTTGGGATCTGGGTAAAAGATCCAGGGAATCCTGGTGTGACACTGTAGGTTAAGTAACTGTACCACAAGGTTGGTTTGAAGCACAAGGTCAGTAGAAATCCTATACAGGGTCGCTATGAGTTGAAACGGACTCAGTGGCATTTAACAACAACAGAAGATCCAGGGTATCTTCATTACTTAAGCAATTGTAGGTTTTTAATGTTTTTCTGCAGCATCACTATAGCTGTGACTTTGGGAAGATCATTCTCTCCATACTTTGTATTTTATTGGCATGACCAGAAGCAAAGATGCACATTAGGGAGTCTTTAAAATAGTCTAGATGGCAACGGGTAAGAAAAGGGAATGAGAAAAGTATGAGAAAGTTTGTGATGGTAAAACCATTATAGAGATTCGATGACAGATGTTGGGGAAAGGGTGTGTGGATCAGCTTATTTGACCAGAAGAGCAATGGGAAGGTAGGTGATAGTTTGGATGTGGCTTGTTATTCTCATAGCACTGGATTCTTTTCCTGTTTTCAAAAGCTTTTTAAAAACTTTTTCAACCTTTCCTCAATTTCCTTCAATGAGCTTCAATGAGCTGGTTCTAATTAATTTAATCATGAGTGACACAATGAAACTGGAACAACCCTGAATTTGAAAACTTATGGGTCAAATCCTTGAAATGGATAATGTGGAAGAGATGTAGTGAACCCTTTCAGGAGCCTAATGCATGTGATTGAATGATTGCCAGGACTGTGGAGAGAAACACACAGTCAAAGCAATGCAATTGGCCACTATTTTTGAGCTTGGTACTGTTGCCTGCAATTCCTCTACCGTTAAAGAGATTTGGTTGCTATGAAACATGCAGGTTGCCCTTGTTTTACAGGGAATCAACCTGTAATTTTTCCCATTCCCATTATCATTTTGGCACATCCATATTGTGTAAATTTGAGTTCATTCTGTTTTTGTTTTGCTAGTCATGATTGCTGGCTCAAAGTCCTGCTTCAATGTATGCCTTCACTTGATCCTAAGTGCCATGTAAGCAGATTTTTCTGTTTTGTCCACTGATATGAC